ATTGAAGCGAGCCAAAATATAAAATTTTGAACTGTTAAGGAAGTTTATGAGGCAGCATGTGGTTAGTGTTCCAGAAGGCATGCAGGTGTATTTCTAGGAAGATGAATGATGCAGTCATCAAATGTTGTTCCTAGTCTAGAAGCTTTGGCTGTCTCATTGCAGTAAAATACTCTATCGTAGCAACAGTTGCTATGTAGGACTACCATCTTAGGCTGTGTTGGTACCATTCTAAGATGTTAAGGGCACTGCAGTGTGCCTGCTGATGAACCTCCTACACTTGTGAGACTTGACTGTGTAGCTCAGGACTTCCATTTTACATAGAAAAATGATTAGTGAGGGTTTCACTGAGAGGGTATCCACAGCATTAGAAACTACCGTCAGCATAGTCGAAGAGGAAATGAGGCTTGTATTTTGTGGATACTCTGTTGTTATTAAACAGGAAAAAATGTTACAGTTCTGCCCATATAACATAACACCAAAGAATAAGCTGTATAGAACAGCTTATAGCACCGTTGCTGCTACACCAAGATAAGTACAGAGAAAATAGGAACCATTTAGTGTGGGGAATCAAGTGTGTTTGTCTGCCTTTGTGCTTATTCTGGTTCACAGCCTGCCAGAGCCTTGGGAGGCAGGCTGGTCTAACAAAACAGCCAGCATTAGTTGGTCTCTGCAGCATCTTGCAACTTCTCTGTCACTGTGATAATGGCGGTTTTCTTAGAGCTGAGGTAGGAAGAGCCAACTGGTGGATCGTTTCTTTTGTTTTCCTGTATGACTGGTCTGTCCTGCTTTCTTGTTAAGTTAGTGCTTTTTTGGTATTTTGGTAGGTCTTGAGGTTTTTTTGTTGCTTCTAGTGCTTCCTGGAAGTTAGAGAGGGGGCTTAGTGTGTTTAGAGATCACCTATCAGTATCTTCCAGTTGATAGCTAGCTAATGCGCATACATCTTGTTGAGCTTTGCCATGGGAGTCTTGAATTGAAAGGAGGAGCTGTAGCCATTGCATCTCATGTCTTAGCAACAGTATGAATGCCTTTCTAGGCTTCACTGATACTGCTGGAAGAAATACAAAACCTCTTCCAACTCCTACAATGGACGTTTTCCTGCTTGAAAAGCTTATGTTCATGGATTCCCCTCCCTCCCTTTAATCTTCTTCACTCACCTCCCACACAGTAGTACTAAGGATTATATATATAAAAAAAAAAAATCTTTGGCTGTTGTTCTCAGTGCTTTTGTGCTCTGCTGATGCAGAGTGTTCCTCTTTCTGTACAAGTTAATGTTTTACAGGCAGTTAACCACACTTACCACAAACATTGACTTATGAGTTTCTCAAGGAGAAACATTCATAAATGTTATGCTATTTATTATTTACTGGTATTTTCCAATATTACTGCCTAGACAGAAGAAAAATGAAAATGTATGTTGTTTCAGAAATGGAAAAAAAGATGCCTCACTGAGGTTTTTTTAGGTGTCACATCAGACTGCAGTTGTAGGGCCTGTGTCCGTTGCAGTGCTTGCTACCTAGCCAGTGACGAAGCTGGCAATGAATGCTATTTGTAGATGTGTGTTTTGACCTCCTTTTCTAAAGGAGAGCTGCAACCTACTTTGAGCTTTGACAACACTTAATGTCAACATGGCATAATTTGTAATTCTCATTGTCAGTGTCAGCTGTCACAGAACAAATAAGCATAAAAAAGAAAAGCTGTCTCCCTCTGTCCCAAAGATCTTTATATCATAAGTGTGTTATGGGACAGGGAGAGTAGAGATGAGAACAGGGAGGTGGCAGGGACATTTGTGGAGCAGTTCTTATAAGCTGCAGTCACCGTACACAGATTAACCAGTCATTTTTGAGGTTTTTGTATGCATCCTGCTAGAGGGGGCTTGTGAAAGGGCTTTGCATGGATGTAATTCAGCTTTGGGTTTTGGTAGGAGTTGCTCAGAAATAAGGAATAGGATGCAAGAAATTTGGAGGGGCTGGGAGAGCTGGAGGGTGGAGGTTTGTGGTGTTGGTTGAGTAGAAGTCCAGGTCTACGCTAGAAATTTGTCAGGAACTTGGACCCTCTTCTGGTATTGTTTCTTCACTAGCAGTAATACTAGGCTGAAGCACTTTTATGGCCATGAAACTTAACCATCTGACCTGGAAAAGTATTATAAATTGTGCTGAAGAGCGTTTCTTTTTGCTGTAGAGAGATCTCAACAGAGAAAAAGGGTTTGATATGTAACTTTTTGTTGTCTAGATTTAAACCCGGCTGATGTGAAGGTCCATCTTTGTAAGAATTGTGTGCTTAAGGGCTAAGATCTTGTTCTCAAGTGGTGTTGGTTTATAATACAGCTTTCTTGTTCTAAAAGTCTTGCCTGTCATGAAAAAATACATCTTGCAAGCAGGTGTAGCCTAAAAAGAAGTAACTGTCATCCTGATCATGGCTGTCATCTTGAGTTGTGTTACTCAATATGTGGACACTTGTAATTTGGGTTAGTGCAAAACCAGTCACATTACCTTAAAAAAAAATCATCTTTGGAGGTGGTTACATCAAGTCAGTGGATTACTGCAATCTGACAGTGCATGGTTTTTGTGCCCTTAAAGTGACAATGCACTAAGATAATCACTGCAGTATGGTTTTGGATATCTGTCTAGCTTTCCCCTGTGGGTGAAATAGGAATTGGAACTGAGATTGCAATATGTAGATGTTTGAGCAGAAAAATGTAAAACAACTCTGTTTCAATGGTGTTAGCCCATGTAAATGACTTTAGAGAAGATTAGTTAAGATATAAAAGTATCTGTAGGGCATAAAGGAGGGAACCTGAAATGGGATTGTTTTTACCTACTGTTTCAAAACAAGAGTTGCCACACTTGACTTGTGTTACATTATTATTTATACTGAGCAGTCTTATTTTCATAGCTATTTGTGGTTGGAATTTCTGGTTTGAAAGCTCTTCATTTAATGACATTGTAAGAACTGAATTTTCTTTTTAATTTTTTTACCTCATTTAAACTTCTGTCATTGCTAACACCTGTATTTTGGTTGTATGAAGTAAGAAATGAATAGGTTTGTTGCACGTGGGGAATATTCACTAAAGAATGCTGGGTTGAGTTTAAAGAGCTGAAGACAGATTTGGGGTTGAAGGTTAATTTAAAGAAAAAAAACAAACAAACATGAAAACCCAGTTGATCCTTGGCATTGTATTTGGTCAAAGAATTGAGTTCAAATGAAGTCAGGAGAATGACTGAATATATGGCATCTTAGTGTTCACCAGTTCATACTGTAAGGACTGGGTTGCTCAGCCTCCCATACTTTGCAGACCATTAAACTGCAGCCAGTTTCCTCATGTGTTGAGCACAACTTTTATTTACCCACTTGTTTGACTCTTAGAAAAGTCAAAGAGTGTGTGAATCCAGGTTTGTGTTCTCTGGGTTATAGCCCCAGGATGCGAGAGTGAGGGTTAAGTGTTTCTGAAGGTATGTGCTTCCAGTTTACAGATGATGAGATGTAATGGATGTCTGGACAGAGCAGATGAGTTTTGCATTTATTTTGGAAATAAATGAAGTTTTAATATTTTTAAGTAGCAAAATTTTCATTTGCAAACTGAGCTACACGAGTAATTTGTGATTTGATAGGCTATAGCAAGGGTACTTGTTGAGAGAAATATGTGGAGCACCACTTTTATCTTGGAAGGCATGTGCATGCTTAGGTACACAGTGTAACCTGCTTCAAGGACTTCTAGTATTTTTAATGCCCCAGTTGAGACAGTTGATGGTGTATTATGCCTGCCTTCCCTCTTCTGTTTTGGGTTGCTGGTACCATTCTGCCTTGTGCTGACCTGAGGTTTACTCCTGTTTTTAAAGTGCCTTTGCAGGCTCGGTGGGGGTAGACGAGCTTGTGTTGGCCCCCAAGGCAAGCAGAGATCTGGAAGACATTGTTCCCTTCACCTCCGTTGCACCTAGGTTTCATGCATTCTGGGGAACTCCTGTCACTGGGAATATCTTTGTTGGCAACATTTTCCAGTGGTTTATCATAGAATCATAGAATGGTTTGGGTTGGAAGGGACCTTAAAAAACATCTAGTTCCAACCCCCCTGCCGTGGGCAGGGACACCTCCCACTAGCCCAGGTTGCTCAAAGCCTCATCCAGCCTGGCCTTGAACACCTCCAGGGATGGGGCATCCACAGCTTCTCTGGGCAGCCTGTTCCGGTGCCTCAACACCTTCACTGTGAAATATTTCTTCCTAATATCTGATCTAAATTTAACCTCTTTCAGCTTAAAAGCATTACACCTTGTCCTGTCACTGCACTCCTCCACTCCGCTGTAGACCCCTTTAAGTACTGGAAGGCTGCTATAAGGTCCCCCTGGAACCTTCTCTTCTCCAGGCTAAACAATCCCAACTCTCTCAATGCTTTATTTGTTTTCCTTGGGTCATCCTTACGTTAACCATAGAATCATAGAATGGCCTGGGTTGAAAGGGACCTCAAAGATCATCTAGTTTCGACCCCCCTGGTGTGGGCAGGGTTGCCAGCCCCTAGAGCAGGCTGCCCAGGGCCCCATCCAGCCTGGTCTTGAATGCCTCCAGGGATGGGGCATCCACAGTTTCTCTGGGCAACCTGTTCCAGTGCCTCACTACCTTCAGAGTGAAAAATTTCTGCCTAATATCCAACCTAAATCTGCTCTCTCTTAGTTTAAAACCATCCCCCCTCATCCTGTCACTATCAGCCCCTGTAAACAGTCTCTCACCCTGCTGTTTATAGGCTTCTTTCAAGTACTGGAAGGCTGCAATGAGGTTTCCCCGGAGAATAATAGTGAGAAAAAGGGAAGCTATTTAGTACCTTATTTTTTTTTTTTAATTATTATTGAAGCCTGTTGGTATTTGTCTGTTTTCTTCATGTTAAAATGGAAAGTAGAAAAAGGTATTTTTGCATCTTCTCATAAAACAACATTCCCCCTCCCCCATCCCACCTAAGTTGTTGCTTCAGAAACCTTTCATTGAATTATTTAATGTAGTCACCTTCTTTACAGATGATGACTTTGATCAGTTTGATAAGCCTGGTGCAGAAAGGTCTTGGAGAAGAAGAGCTGGAGATGACGACTGGGACAGGTAGGTGGAATATTTTCATGTTCCGTTTCAGTATGCTGAATTACATTGCTCTGTTTTCCTATTCTGGCATTTTGTATTCTAACACTTAGTGTAGCACACATTTAGATACTAATTAAGATGTTGGTTGTTATGCATGTGTCAGCCAATGCTAGATTGTGCCAAACACATAGGAGTATGAGGGGTGTAGAGAGCACTATGAAGAGATACCATTTAAAATACAAAGTATTTGTGGTGTGGAATTAACTTTGCAATTAATGTCCTGGTTTTCTTTTTAAATATTTACTAGATCTCAGTGGTTTAAATAGTTAGATTTTTGCTAGTGCTTGAATTTGCCCAGCTTAATTTTTTTTTTTAACTTGTTATTTAAATTCTTGTCCTCCAAGTCGTTCTTCAGTTTTACATTGTAGGAGAATAATGGAGCTTAGGTGTGGGCTTCTATAGAAAAATATGACTGTTCTGGAGATTTTGAAGTATGTACAAACTTGGTTATTTTGGGAGAGAATAGGAGGATGTTCTTTTACGTAAGGGAACTCTAGCTGGGAAAGACCTGAATCAAGGTGCTGGCTAGACTTATCTATTCTTGGGAGAAAACTTTTCACTTTTTTGTGGGGTTGCTTTTTTTTATTATTCCTTTATAGTAACAGGGACACTTGTTCAAACTTTGCCAGTAGTTTTCACTGTAAAAAGGAGGAAAAAACCACTCCAAATAGGTTTTTCTCTTTTCTAATAATCATTCAAGTGATTGTAGTAAACAAATTTTACCCTAAGCAGTTTTCCACTGAGCTGAACCCTTGGAGTGAATCAGCTACTCTAGATTTATCATTATTCTGGAGGGATTGGTTTCCTCTTCTGTGCTCTTCTGCTAGGTTAAGTGGGTAGTTTCCATTGCTCTAGGAGGTGAGTAAGAGTGAATAAGAAATTTGGACAATAACTGGCTTCGGTATACAGGGTGTTTTGCTGTATGCTGGTGAGGGGTGCCTGCTCTCTGTCATGCCAGCGCAGCTATTTGTGGGTTGGATGGTGAACTGCATCAAGGAACTGATCTAGTTTGAGAGTGTAATTAAAATAACTTGTTCAGGCTGGGTCACTGCACTGTGCTGCCTCCCATCCCCAGCTCTGGGTATTCAGAAATACTGAAGCCGATATTACAAGTAAAATGCTTTGTATTAGAATATTTTCTGAACTTTTTGCCTTTGCTGACTTCATGGCATGATAGGTGGGCTCTTAGATGCTGGCTGGTCATATTTGTTTCAGCTGTCCTACTCTTATTTCATCAGAAAGTTTGGAAGGGTCAAACAGCTGTCATATCTGAACTTGTAAGCTTATTGTCAATGGTAAACTCCCTGTGGCAAAGCTATTTTTATAGGCCTTGAGAAGGGTTATAGAGTATTTTCACCAAGCTGAGACTTTGAGGCACACAAGGATTCAGTTTTAGAAAAAAAGTTTTCATTTATGTGTTTACTATTAGCTGCATATAAAGATAGATGATCAAAAATAATATTGTTTAGTTAAAGTGTAAGGGAAGTGGTTTCAGGTGCAGTGCTGGAGATTCCAGAGTTTCATCTTGCTGATCATTTCAGAAAATGTTTTTTACAACTGCATGTGGTGGAATTTATATTGTTTTTTTAAAATTATTATTTTTAGATTGACAAGCTGTCTTTGAAAGTGTTAAGTTCTGTGTCTGGGCAACTACAAATGCAGTACATGGATATGTTCTTGCCTAATGTAATTACTTGAATTTTTTTAACTACTGGCCTGATTCGGTGTAGGATACAGTTTCTTGAAGATGGAGAAAGGCTGCATGAACAGAGTAGACTTGTGTTTTTTAATCTTTAATGCTTTGTTTTGCAACCTAAGTAGGTTTTTTTTTTGTTGTTTTTTTTTTTTTTTTGTGGGGGAGGGTGGAGGGGTTATGCTGTTAGTCATACATCTTGATCAACCATCAACTCTTACTGTGTTGCTACTTAACTGAGTGCCATCCCCCAGTCATTTAAATAATTTTGAATTTCTGGATCTCTTTCCTTAGACACTGGAGGGTGATAACAGAATTGGAAGACCCATGTTATTTGGGAGTACAAATGTAACATTGTTCTTGGAGAATTTTTCCCATTACATTTTTTTACAAATTCTTTTCCTGAAACACTTGTGTCCCTGCTCCTGCTTATGTTTAATGAGTCATGCTCATGAAATTGGAGGCCAGAAAGGACCAGTCTGACGTCTTTATCATGGGCTGTTAATTTATACACTTATCTCTGTAACTATCCCAAAGTTTGGTTTTTGGGAAAAACGTTCAGTTCTGATCCTATCCTGTGCGATGACAGGGCTGATTTAATAGTTGACTTGTGCTGAAATTTGCTTGTTCTGACCCTTCTCTGAGATTACTCATTTCTCTACACTGACAGAAAACTTTCCACCTTTTGTTGTCTTTTTATTATTATTTTATTTTCCTCATTTGTTGAGCTGAATTTGTTCAGTTAGGGGAATGTTATGTGTTGGGACTTGAGGAAGGTGAGGAAATGGGTCTGTCTCTTGTGAAAGCAGTGAACTCTTCCATCATTTTAACCCTAATTTCCTAGAACTGTGGCTTTGGAGAGACAGTTGTCTTGATGATAGTGAGGGTAAGTTGCCTTTGGAACTATCACAGATGTGTACTTTTATTCCAGTTAGATTTATTTTATGTGACTTTGTGATATCAGATTGCAACCATATATTGTTGTCTTTTTCTCAGCTAGCCTAAGATCTTTTAGTATCTGAGGGTTTTGGCTGTGTTTCGTGGTTGTTTGTTGGTTTTTTTTGTTTGTTTGTTTGGGTTTTTTTTGTGGTTTTTTTTTTTTTTTTTTTGTGACAGATCTCTTAATTATGCTCTCTCTTCTTTCTGGTAACTTCAGATTTGTCTATTTTAAAAGAAGCTTGAAAAGGTCCATTTTACTGTGAAGGCTTTTCACTGTTACTTTGTTTATTCAGAAAGTTACCAATGGTGATTTTTCTTCTATTAATTTATCGATGAAAATATTGAATGACACTGAATATTGTAGTAGGTTTTGAGGGCCATTCTGTGAAACACTTGTTTCTTTTATGAGCTTCATTTATGTGCTAGTGCTAATTTTTTTGACTGTCAAGTAGTAAGCCAAAGCTTTTAAAAATCTAGAATATGTGTGAATTACTTCTGTTGACCAGATGTTTAATCTTTTTTTTTTAAAAACACATTGAGAGTGTTTTTTAGTAAAATATTGAATAGCCTTAACTATGTTTAGATAATTTAGTCTTTTGCTTTCTTTTCCATTCCTTTTTGATCTGAATTTCTTACTATGTCAACTTGTTTTTTGTCTTTGAATGCTGCTACTGTAACTCATGCTCTTGCCATCTTTTGGAATTTTTCTAGTGCAGTTTTGTGAAAAGCTGCCAGTGGTGGACCATAGTGGTAGGAAGTACTTTCAAGCCTTTTGGTGCATTTGTCAGATTACTGGCGTTTGAAGAGATTAGTGACTTTTCCTCCTTCAGTTTTGTCTCTAAATTCTTCTGCAACCATTTCTGTTATGTGGAGTTTTCTGTCACTGAAATAAAGGGCTTAAATTCTAGTCACTTTGCTCTTTGGAATGTATGATATGTGTTATGTCCCAATTTTTGTTTAATATTGCTGTGAGCACAAAACAATTGCTATTTGTTAATGTTCGGTAATTCCTGGAACTGTTTGAGATCAGTAACTGTGGACAAATGCTGTGTACTGATGATAATGTCCTGTTTAGGGCTGATTTGGAATATCATCTGTTCTCTTCTAGCCCACAAGATTTTTATTCTCCCCTGTCATTATCTGTACAGTAACCAGCTCTGAAAGAGATGTATCTGTCTGCAAAAGCAGCTCTTAGCACTGATTTATGTTTTAGGATTGCCTCCCCGTTTTCAGTTATTTCCTGTGTAGTCCTAAGGAACTCTTAAACATATTCCTATTCTGTTCATACAGACCACTCTTACTTTGAGGTATTTAATTTTTATGTAGTCTCTAAGGCATGTTTTTTGGTCTTTTTGTTCTGTTTTTTAAGGTGTGGAGGTAGAAATAGTCTCATATTCTTGAATTACACCTCATATTTCCAGTCACTGGCATCTCATTTTAGTGTTAAGACATGCATGTTCTAATACAGGCATTTGTCAGTAATAAGTGTTTATTATAGAATCATAGAATGGTTTGGGTTGGGAAGGACCTTAGAAGGGGGAATCTGTTTATTTCTGTCACTTGATAATTCTTTCGTTGTCCTAAAAGTTGTCCTAAAGTTTAACCTGGACTGTAGTTCTTTGTGTTGCATTCTACCTATGGGACAAAAAAGTTTTGTAAGCCAAGTATTTCTATGCTGTCCGAATTCTTAGCTGCACTTACAAAGATGCTGAAGCATGCATTTGATTTTGTCATCCTACAAATGTCTGTTTGACCTTACCTTTAACTTGAGGACGAGGGAATAAAGTATTCATGAAGGATCTAGGCATAAGTGGCTCCCAAGCCAGCTGGCCTCCCAGTGCCTCCTGGCTGAAGTGGAGCTTGGGCCACATGATGGCCTGTAGACAGTCTTGCCCCCAGGACATTACTGTCTCACTTGCTTCTTTCCTGGTGGGAAGTTTGAACAATACGCTCAAAGGGCCTGGAAGTGAAGGATCTAGAGTGGGGACCTAGCTAACTGTGGTTAAAATGCCTACCCTTTGTCTAGGTTTATGTGCTGTGTTACAGTTGTAGGGATATCAAAAGGAGAGAATATGAAAATAAAATGACTGGGCAACAACAGTCTTACTTAGTATGTATGGTCTGTTGTTTCACTTAAAATATGTATCTCCTTTTTCAACTTGCTGAATGCTTTGCTAAAAGGAAAGCTTTGTGCAGACTCAGGGACAGTTATCCTCAAGTTAGTTTTTTAAGGCGTATACCCTATATGGTGTTTGGTTTTCTAAGGTTCAACTTAAATTTGTTAATTTTTTCCAGTGAACTTGATGATGACTTGCTTGGAGAGGATTTGCTAACTGGCAAAAAGGTAAGAGATGTGCATGAAAGTGAATTGTTACAGATATTAAAATGTGAATGTTGTTCAGCTTGCCCACTTCAGTTGTTTGGTGTGGCCTTTTATGTATTTCACGGTCACCTTCCCAAAGCCTGACAGCCACAGGTACTCGAGATCTGCCCTGCTGCCAGAGTGCTCTGCACCCAGAGCTCTGTTTCTTTTTATGAAAGACTTCCAAGTGTGGCTTTTTAAAATATAACTTTTAGAAAAATTTTTTTTTTCTGATGTAATATTTCTTCTCATAACACATTTCAAAAAGGAGGTGGTTCTCAAAATCAGTTTCTCTATAGCTCATATTTACTTAAAAAAACAAAAAAAACAAAAAAAAGGAAAAACCCAGTTATGCCTCCTGAGTGTTGATTAACATTCTGGAGAATTCACTTCAACTGCCATTTTCCTGGCTATTAGAAGTTACTCATCAAAATACCAGCAGTAAATACCAGACAGTAAATAAAAAAGCAATCAGTGGTGTCTATTAAAGATCCACTTACTCCACACAATCCACTGCTGCTTTGGTGAGTAGGCAGAGGACTTCCCCTTCTATAGTGAAGGAGGAATATGGGAGCAGATAGCCCTGGAAAACATAAAGAAGTCTCCCCATGTCTGCTATAGACTCCTCTGTCTGATACCTGTCGCCAAAATTCAACTCTATGAAAAGAAATAAATATGTTTGGTTTTGGCAGATATCTGCAGGTGAAGACAGGGCTTCTGTTTGGGAAATCAAAACTGGCTAGTCCCTCTTTCTCCACTTTATCTGCTAAATGAATTATATTAGATAATTGTTTCTAAAGGTTTAGTTGAAGATGAATTTGTTAAGAAACCCAGTCTAGTAAAAGTTGAGGTTTAATTGATGTAGTTTTTGTATTCAAACTCTAAATGTTGGAAATTAGCTTGAAATCTGTATTAAAGATAGGAAGTTCCTTTGACTCATGTACTGGTTTAAAAAATAAAATAAAATTACAGGAGGATAGGGGTTGCGGATGTGTGTATGAGCAGTTAGCATTGCATCAATCTTTGTAGTTGAGACATGAGTTGATAAAGCTACTTATCTTAAAGAAAACCAAACAAACCCGAACTGTGTGAATGCTAATTCCAGATTTCTCCAATGTATTATGTGTTCTTGTGCTTTTTTCTGTTCTTATTTTTGGTTTGCCATGTTACAGGGCTCTGAGTAGTATCTGTGGGTATCGACTTATACGGTGAAGTAGTGATAGATTTCTCAGGAAGTTTTCCCTGAGCTATTTAGGCTAAATTTGCTTTTACTTGATCTCATCCCAGTACTTTTAGATAAATCTACCCTTGTATAACCTTTCTGCCCCTACTTTAAAGGATGGAAATAATGTTTCTGAGCAAAACTGGAGTTATCTCTTCATAGTGGGTAATTATTTAAAAAAAAAAGGATAAATGGAACAACTGAAAGTATGATGGACAAATTAGGAGGAGTTCAGAAGAGGCCCTGTATTTTCTTCTGGTTTTTTTCTTAACTTACAAACTAATTATGGTTTTTCTCTTTTCTTCATACCACCACATCCTTTGCTCTAGTCTCCCAAGTATCTCTGCTCTCTAGAAACTGCAGTAATTTAGTGGATTTTCTTGACTTGCTTAATGCTTCAAGATCACAAGGCAGTGTACTAAAGCTAACCTTTCTTTCTTTCTGGTATTTCTTAAGTAAGTTGTCATCTTTGACTATACTTGGGAATGCATCAGTGAAACATGTTGACAGCTAGGCAATTTTGATTTTTTTAAAATTTCCATAAGACTGTCAAACATTTATTTTCATGTTTGTTGTCTTGTGTAGTGTATTTTTTCTCATAGAATTAGGTGATTTCATTGAAGATATGATCTTAGTATGGGATGCATTCTTCATTGAAAATATTTAGTGTTTAGAAGTTTCAGTAATTTAATTACCTACTTAATTAAAAGTTTATATCCTTTTTTATATTCATGATTGACTTTTTCTGAAACCTAGAATCAGTCAGACTTGTCAGATGAAGAGCTGAATGATGATCTTCTGCAAAGTGACAATGAAGAGGAGCAAGAATTTCGGTATTACTTTTCTAAATCTTGTACTTTGGATAACTCAAAGCTATTAATGCCTATTACTACTGATAACTAATAACTACTAAACTGAAGTTATTGGTATATACATAAAAGAGTTTTGCTTTTTACCTAGCCAGCTACTTAATGATGTATATATGATGTGTTCTGTAGCATTGTTAGCATTTCGGTAAAATGATTTTTTTTCTGTTTGAATCTAATAAATTTAACTCAAATCTATAAAAAAAGGTTATGAAGAAGAAGCTGCGTCATCTCCTGAGCATTTAGAAGTATTTATAAATTCTTACAGAGCTCTTGTTCTGTGCCTTCTTGGTATCATTGTAGGCTTCCTTCTCCTGTAAAGACGCTTTCTGCCATCTTTCTTTTAAAAATGTATTTTACCTCCCAAGACCCGGAGGAGAGGAGCTTCATAGTTTGTAAGGCTTGATTTGTGCCTTAAATAATTGTGTACAATTACACAGCAGAAACTTTTGTACAGAGTGCATAGACTTGAGCAGGTACTTCCATGGGCATTTACTGAGGATCCTGCCCTGTGAAAGCTCTGTGGTGATACAGCTCCACAACTGAATTATGGACACTGCAAGTCAAAATGAGTGTCTTGACATTTTTACTTTTCAAGCTAGACTGAAAGAGATGCTTCTGATGCAGAAGTGATGCAGTGCCACTGCTGCTTTCAATGGCCTATGTGTTTTGACAGCTTTTCCTTTACTTGCTGCATGCTATGCAGGCATGTCATCTGAAGGGGAGTGAAAATACATATATATGTTATACATACATATATATATATTGCTCTGAGATCTCCTATCTGTCCATGGCTGGAATTAGGGTAAGGAGTCCTGTCTCTGTGTTGGATTGGTGAGGGTGTGGTGAAGTACTGCAGACCATCAGTCTCTCCACTGGCTGCTGTTTTCCTCCCTGCAGGAGTGAGGGTTGGACTGTTCCTTTCAAAATGGGGAATCCCAGTTACAGTCTTGCTGTTTCTTCTCTGAATTTCTGCCTTGTGAGCCCTGGGGAGCAGGGATGGCTATGTGACTGCACAAGTGATGAGAAAGTATCTGAAATGTGATAATATTGCTCAGTGGAAGCAGGTTTCTGTAGACAAGTCTTGCATTTTTAGCAGTTTTATTGCCAGAGAGCGAGAGCCTTGCCCCTCTCCCCTATCCCTCTGTTTCCATTCGAACTCATTTATGCCCCTGTAGTTGGGAGGATAATGATAATCCTGCATAATGCCTTCATTTTCGTGTTAAATCTTCTCCGTTTTATAGATTCAAATAGCTCAGAGCTGCCTGGATCTTGTTCCCCCAAATTTAGGAAAATAGTGAATGATAGGAATGCAATTAAAAAAATATATGTTTTCCTTTTACCTGGGCCCTCAAATCAAGAAGAGCTTTCCCCCCTTCTTTTCTAACTAGTCTGTAGGTGGTTAGTTGCTCTTTTATGTGTTGATGGCACTAGCTATTGTAAACAGTAAATTCTGAGTTTTGCTTTTCCTCCAGGTTATAAATTTGACAGTTTTTATATCGATTGTTTTTTTCAGTGTCTGTGCCAGTGCTGTTACTAAGGTCTTAGGCATTTAAATGACAGTTCGACTGGATATTTTGCATTAAGTAGAATATAAAATCTGTCATAAAAACATAAGTTTTAATTAAACAATATTAATACACTTAATAAAAATAATTTACTAGCATGTTCTGAAAGATTGGGAAAAGGGATGAAGTTATAGCAATTTTGTGTGTTTTTTGTCAGTCTTGGAATTAAAATTGAATCCAGTCTGCTTTGGTTACCAAGCAGGACTTTTTCCAGTTTGACCTGCTAAACCATATGGTTGGTTTGATTCCCCTGGTCAAATAGCCTGCAGCTGGTGATAAGCTGCAGTACAGTATGCGTTATGAGAACGTGGCATGGAGTCAAATAGTGTGTGAGGTATAATTTTGCACACCAACTTAGAGAATTTGTATTTGCTGGCTTTGTTTTGATAAATCTTTGTGACTAGTTGACTGTTGTGCTTCAACCGCTGAATTTTTCCCTCCACTATACCGTAGTGCTCAAGGTGTCACAGTTAGCCTCAGTGCTACGTCTGGCTTACTTACGTCATACGAACTGTCTGAGACCATCAATGATCCATCAATAGAACATGAGTCTGAGTATGACCACGGGGAAGATGAAATTGGTTATGACAAATCTGAAGCACCTGAAGTATATGCTTCAGAATATGCAGAGGAAGGACATTATGAAGGCAATGATCCTGAACTGACAGAAGACCAAATAGAATATGGGGAAGAGCCTGGAGAAGAAGATGAAGTGCTAGACCTTGAAATCAATGAACCCTTAGATGAATTTCCAGTGAGTTTCTTTTGTATCTTCAAAGATAACATGGCTTCACGTGCATAGGGTTTTAGACTGATTTGAAATCTGTTTACCTCCCTAGGGAGGAGGGGAAATTAGACCTATTATCACTGTCTGCCAGTTTCTTTATCTAGGCTGTGACAAAGTTTGTGTTGACAGCTTGTTTGGCGGTAGGTAATACTCCTTTGTCATGCTGGAAGGCAGTTGGGAATCATGACCTTGAGGATTGTATCCTTAAGGAAGAAAACAGCTTTGTGTGGTGGAGATACACTGCCAATTGTTAGAAGTACTTAATGCAAAAGCTTTTATCCAGGCTTTAGACAAGATCTGATAAAGTCCTTCGAAGGTGAAAAGATTATTGACCTGCTAAAGACATCTTTAAGGTGCTAATATCCCAAAGTGATTGATGTCCTGCTCATTCATCCTTATTGTAAGTGAGAACTGTCTAAACCTGAATAAAGAGATTGGAGGTTAGTTCAGAAAATGTCACCTGCATAATTCAATATAATTTAAGCAGTGTATTAGAGAACATACACTGGCTTTAATTACTAGGGAAATGATTTAATCTTAATGAAAACTGTATGTGATCAGTGAGGTGTTTTAAAATATAAAACAAAAGCAAAACCTTTAAGTAATTTTGCTTATGTTCATAATTGTTCAGAATTGAACCCATTCATATGTAAACACTAGCAGAATGTTTTAAGAATGTTTGTTTTTTTGGGGGGTAAAATCTGATGTTAATGTGTATGTGCTATAGACACGTTTCCTTTGGTAAGAGAGTACTGCAGGGTTTGCTTCATGAATTTATAATCAAAGGAGGTAGAAGTGTAGAAGTAGGTGAAGCAAACAGTAATAGATGGCATCTTTATGATGACATTTCTGGGATCTGAATGAAAACTGTTTTGGTTATGTTTTTGATAATGTTGAAACTAGTTTCTAGTTAAAAGCACTACTAATTACACCTTATATGATATGTCACTTATAATTGACAGTTCTGATAGATACAATACTTCTTTTCTAGTTCTGGAAACAGTCACAATGCATACAGACCCCATCTCTTAATGGGTTTGCGATTCTGTGAAGTTGGACTGTCTTTTCACCTTCTGGTGTTATTGCCTTAGGATGAAGATTACATGCAGTCGTATAATGAGCAGGCAATGGAAGAACAAGAAGAATATACAGCAGATGAGGAGCTGGAAGAATCTCAGACAATGGCAAATGAATCAGAAGAGGTGTGTTGTGAATTTAATGGAAACTTAAAACTAACTAGTTGTTTCAGAACATGAGTGTGTAGAATTGTCCATGTTGCTGGGTAAGAACTGATGCAACTTTGCCAGTGTTCAGTTATTGGTAACATTACTCTTTGTATAGGATGAACTGTGATAACATCTATATTGTCAGATACATTGGGTCCCCTCTCCCCCTTGGGATGAAAATTGTAAGGGAGAGCTCAAAATGTCCATATTTAATCTTAGCTTTAGTATTAAAACTTCAGGGGCCCTTTTGGGTAGGAGAATGATAGTAATACTGCATGCTGTCTGTTAAATTTCTGATAGCTGTGGTGCCTCACTTTCCAGATGGATAATTTGCTGCTGTTGGGAGTGTAGATACAGTTCTTGGGTATCCTACTTTGAGGAGGAACATGAGCATGGAACGTTTGGTATGTTAGAAAGGCAAAGGTCAGATTGTTTGTTGTTTTGAAAGAAGTTGTATTGGGACTGAAATTTCTGTGAAGTTTACCTTAATTCTTCAAATAGGAAAAAATGAATTATTTCATTTAGAAAAAGAGCACTTATGCCAAAAACTTACATCAAGTATATGCTTACTGGTTATAGCCTGGAACAGTGGTATCATACCAGTTATTAATTTGCAGCAAATTTTTGATGTGGGATTTTAGGAATCTGCTTTAGTATTAGTTTTATTCCATTTCTTAATTAAATAGGATTGAATGGATTACCTGCTGAGAAGTATAGTCAGATTGTGTCTGTCTTTGGAGCTTTAACTCATCAGGAAATTAATTCAAGGACACAGCAGCATTATTCTATGAAGTTCTAATAAATGGGTGTGCTGTGATACTCTAGTTGTATCAAACTTACTCTAATAACACAACATTCTTTGGGAGGTGAAGGGAGATGCATTGAAAGGGGCCACCTGCATTATTCAGTCTTTGCTGTTGCAAGCATGCCATCTTACACCTGAACATAGTTAATTTCCTACTTCCTAAGTATTAAATCTGCCCTTCCAAAGAACTGTGAAACACTTAAACGCTTTTTCTTCATTCCCTGGATTATATGAACTTTCCTTCTGATGTTTTAAAAGCAGACTGATGCATTTGTGCTGTCTGCAGCCACAGTCTGTATGAGGTGATGAAAGCACTGCATGTCATGTAAAATCAAGTACATAGCTGGGATTCACTGTCAAACTCACTGCTTTGAAAAAACACAGCTTCATTTTTTTAGAGTATGAACTAGCAAGATTTCTGTAATAATCATGTTGTCTAAATTTGCCCAAATCAGAATTAAATTCCTTTCATTCAAACGATAACACTAATGCAAGTTTTTAATTTTTTTTTTTTTTTTTTTTTTTTTTTTTTTTTTTTTTACTAGAGCTTTTAGAGAATTTGTTCATCATGTAATGTGAATATTTTGACCACATCTTTATTCAATTAATGTACATTCTGGCTTTATTCTGATGGCTTGCAGGTTGCCACAGGTTCCTTGTTTCCAAAGTACCGGCTTTTTATTCCTATATTATTTCATATGTACCTAATTAGCATTTGTCAGTAGGCTCGCAGTTGCACTCTGCAAATGAGAATACCACTGAGAGAGAGAGAACCTTTGTAGAGTACGCACTATCTGTTTATTATAGGGTTAGATGCATGCCTTCAGCTCTGAATAGTTTTGTTCTTTATTGGAGTGTTATATAACAACACTCCTCCTTAAATCTCATAACGTTCACTGCTTGTAAAGAAGGGTAGTTGTTGGCATTCTCCTGTAGAAAATGCAACACAAGAATGGAGCTGTAATAGACGCAGTACAAATAAATAGCATTATTCTTCCTTGATTGAAAGTTGGCATCTGAATAACTTGAGAGTGAGATAATAGAGAAAAGTGTGTGGTGGTGTTGTATTTTAAGCAGTTTGCACATTAAAACCAAATAAAGCCCCTTATTATATTGCATGAAGAACTTTATCAACCAAGATGGGGATGGCTGGGGAACTGGAACATGCTGCGGGGAAACTGGTGAATAAGGGAAGTGAGACCTTTTAAGAGTGGCACTTGGATGGGAGGTCTGAGGAAGAGGTAGGAGAAGGTTGAGTCCTTGGCCAGATGAGGTTCAAGGCGTGCTTTTTCACTTGATATTTAATTTGAAACAGTGCTTAGAATTTTGAATAAATAACACTCTGTGTGGAGCTTCCTTTAAAAATGTAGCAATTTTTGCCTTCCTAAAGTACAAAGCAAAACCTAATACCCGGAAGTTTCAGCAGCAAATAGGTGTGGTAAAACTGTCAGCTACATGAGTTATCATGTCCTAAATATTTTTAGAGGAACAATATCAGTAATTATGTCTGTGAAACATTCATAAAAATGTAACCTCCTGGCATTAGAATTCATTATTTCTTTGTTTTATATTGGAACTAATCTCCTGTGAAGTCTGTGATGGTGGTTTCTCATTGCATAAATTTAAACTATGTCTTGGGTTATGCTGATAAAAAATGATGAGGACTTAAATCAAGAAAACATTTAATGAACAAGTGGTGCACACTGCTTTCCTTTTGATAGGATACAGACTTGGAAAAAAATGGCCAATGTATCTGTCTGTTGGGTTGTTCAATCTCTGTTTAGCCAAAACTTATGCATTTTAGTTCTTTTGTTCAAGTTTGAAGATACTACATGTCAGCCTGGAGGAAAATGATGAGAAGAGTGCAAATCAAAACAGCCAAGCTTTAAACATATTTAGAAGCTCTTAGATTTGTTTTTTATTCCCTTTTTTTCCTCTGTGGAGGTGCCCTTGGAATAGGTGTAACATCCTCTTATCTGCTCTCTGTTATTTCCTGATCACTTAGGATTGAGCAATTGCTGCCACTTCAGTGTTAGCCTCTGGTAGAAGCCTCCACTGCTTATTTTCTAGCTAGTTAATAAAAAATTATTTGTTTCACTTTTGTAATGTTTCACGTGGAAGAAATCTGGTTTAGCCTTTACAGCATTTACCTGTTTCATACATCTTGGCACTCTCTGTCACCGAGCTCTCTAGAACACTTGACAGTCCCAGATTTAGGAGGATCCTGTGCTAAGATCAGCATTTATTGTGCTGGCTGGTGTTTTTTCCTGCTTTCCTTGTGCTGTCTCTGTTACCAGGCCTGCAGCTGCCTGGTAAGAGGTTCAGGGCAGGAGCACTCACTCTCTCTCCATAGCAGATCATAATGCAGTGCGGGGAGTGTTCTAGTCAGTGGCTCAGATTTATGGCATAATTAGTTAATGAGGATGGCAGAAAACACTGACCTTGTGGTAGAAGAATGGTCATTATTTTTCTTTGTAATGAAGAGTCAACAAAGCTCTTTGGTAACTTTGTGCGAGTGTCATAATGGGAAATGTTAAGCTCCCTTAGAGGAGAGTTGCTAAGAAGCCTTGGCTGGATAGTCCAGTCAAGCGACCTCAAGCGGCTCTTCAAGGACTGTTTATGTATATGCAGAGATCTTAATGTTTGTAAGTATGAAACAGAATCCTGTAAGTACTAGTATGTGTTAATTCGATGTCTACACTTGTGTCTTTTCCTGTATGAATTTATTTTGAAACATAGAATCCATTAATATACTGTAATCTTGGCAAAACAACTCATCCTGTTAGGCTGGAAGTTGGAAAAGATGATCTAAAGAAGTCTTGCATGCTACAGCTGTTGAACAAATTGTGGGGAAAAGGGTATATGCTCCTACACAACTCAGATAACCTTTCCTGGAACTATATGTAGAGAACATATGGTTGTCTGTCAGACACATTTGTGTCTCTATCACAACTAGTATAAATCCCTCAATAATACGTGTCATCAGACTTGGACATGGGTCGCTTGACATTCTTGAGCACTGCCTTGCCTTGGTGCCTGCTCTTTCATTAGCTCCTTTGATTTTTTCGTCTTTGATATTTAACACTTGTATGGCTGTTGTTTAGTAATAGGTGGCAGAGAGCATTATACTGATGAATTAAGTGAGTTAGACCCAGAAAACTACAGAATAGGTATAAGTGGCTAAGAACAGAATAAGTACTGGTCTAGAAAACTTTGGAAAATGTTTTTTGCTGTTGCATGGGAAAGGAGTTGTAGTCTGTTACAACTTGCATTTTTTTTTTTTTTTTAAGAATGGTTATATTTATTTCCAGAGTGAATAATTATCAACAAGTAACAGTTTCCACTGGTGTTTTCTGTAGTATTTCATTAAAGCATTGCAAAATTTTTCAGGACAATGCAGACTGCATTAACCTTTCTAGTCCTGATTCTACAGTCAGACCAACATGTAGAGCCTTGCAGGAGTAAGTTTTGCACTCACAGATGAGATTACATGACCGAGACCAGTCTTTGATGAATAAAAGCTGGAATTCCAACATAGCTTTTAAGGGGCATGGACATAAGAGAAGGGATGTGTCTGGGGTTTATGCTCTAAAGTAAAGCAGGAGGCTCGGTGTGCTCAGAGACATGTTCCAAATCTTGATCCTGAACGGAAAGTTTCTAAAGACAAGCATTAAATCAGTAAAATAATGGGTTTTGTGATATTTAAAAACATAGATTTGATAGAGATATTGCTACTCCTTTCTCTTTTGGGAGTCCATCATTTGAAAGTAAAATACTAACCCTGTCTTTCTCTTTGTTTTTGTTTGTTTTTATTAAAGCACCTTAGCATCTCTTTCCTTGTTAACATCCCTCCTCTGTTCCATGAGTCTCAACTGCCTGTCCTCAGAGGTGCTTTGATTATACATGGATATGTTAATCAGACCAGTTGTGCTCAATTTGGGTTTGCTTTTGAAGTTTGGATTTCTTTCAGTCTTGAAAGAATTTTTTTTTGACTGCTATCCTGTCTGTTGTTGTTAGTTGCATTTTTTTGATATGATAAAGTTGTTTTATAAATGAAGTATCTTTTTAAAATATAAAGCCTTAGTGCTTTTTGTAAACTTTGACTATTCTCTGAGCTATATCTTAAAGCTTTTTTGTGAGGTCAGAAAATGTAGTGCTTGAATGTTTGCCTGGAATGCATAAAACATTCTGAGATAAGTAAATGATAAAATGAAAATAACTTGGGATCAGTAGCCCATTAAAGCCCAGTGACAAAGTATACAGACCATTTATTCACCAGACCAAAGGTGGAGTAGCTTTGAGCTCAAGTTCATACGGTGTGCTGGCTTTTAAAGTAGAAACTGTCTTGCCATGTCCTGTCTCTGATCCTGCTTCCCATGTTTCTTTGTAGTTTTGGATGAAGTTGGACTCCTGGATAAGGAAATTTGCAATCTCGTGCATCATTCTGGCATTAATTATTTTTCTTGGTTTGTGACTTGTATCAGTCCACCTGACTGACACATTTGCTGTTCCTTTTTCCTATAAGTTGCTGCACCAATCTGTATAATCAGAAGATTAAAACGTTTTTTGCATGTTATATTTCACTAATTTCTTTAACTGTCCTTAAGTGACATAAAAGTTACACTGTACTTAGTGGCTTTCCAAAGAATTAAAATGCATGTGCAGGCTATAAGAAATGAGCAAGTAGGCTTGTACAAGAAATAGCTAAATACACAGTAAGCAAATATTTTATGGGAAATCATACTGTATTAGAAGGCTTCTAATTTTCAACTTTAGAAATCAAATATAACTTGTGTAACATTCTGAATATTTTATCGTGCCAGCACAGGAAAATGTTGTTTGGTGTTTTTTTTTTTTTTTCATTTGAAGGAGTGGGATGCATTTTCACTTGGGACTTTTTGTCTAAATAAATGTTCTCTGTTAGAGAGAGAACTGAAATGTAAATGAAGACAAGGAAGTAGCATTGCAGTATACAAATTTAGTATATTAAAGTTTTATCCTACCCTGTTCTCCATTCACTTCATCAATTGCCGAATTAAAATTGGAGAATATTCAAGGAGTAGAAAAAGTAAAGACAAGTACAAGTACACAGACCTAGAGGAATAAAATTGAGATGTAAGGTTATCTTTTTTTGTGTGTTTTTGTTTTTGTTTTTTTTTTTAACAGCATGCTACTGACAGTTGTTAACAAATGAAAAAAAAGATAATGATTTAATGTCTGTATTGCTTGACTCTGGTAGTATCTCTTAAATGTTCACTGAGTTATAATATATGGGAATAATGTATAGTGGCAGAAAAATTTATACAAAGGGACATATAAAGAGAGCTTCCTCTTGTGACACTCATTACAAGAAAGTAGATGTTTCAGTATGCATGTCCTCTATTTTGTGATTCAGGCAGCTATTGAATCTCTGGAACTTCAAGAGGAAACAAAAGAAGAATCTGATGAAGAGGAGGATGACGACGAAGAGTCTGGGCGATTACGTTTCAAAACTGAACGGAAAGAAGGAACGATAATTAGGCTCTCAGATGTGACAAGAGAAAGGAGAAACATTCCAGAAACTTTGGGTGAGGTTTTTCGGCATGGACTGTTTTGAAGAGATATAATAAAAGAAACTAAAAGACAGGCTTGTCAAAACTTTTAGAATAGAGTTTAATGGTAAAATATAGAACAGTCACATTCTAACTTAGACTGGCCTGTATCCAATTGTGCAAAGTCATTTGTAGTCTGTTCTAGTATATGTAGTGTCTGCCTCCTTGGGAATATCATGTTTTGAAAACCAGCGCAATGTTTGTTCGTTGAGACTTTTGTGGTGTCTTTAAAAGCTTTCCTGTTTCAAGCAGCAGCCATCTGATCTGTGTTTCACTACATATTGTGGTAGAATATATTTTAAGGAATTCTTTTGGACTTCCATCCTTGGAAGGTTTTCAGTTTATAACACAAATCTTTTTACTCGTGTTCTGCTATGAAATACCTGCATGTTTGCTGTTTTCCCCCAGGAACTGCTGTGAACCTGTGATGTTACTACTGTTGGATTGGCCTAGAGAAATTGTAACTTTCTGGGGAGTGTGTTAGAAAAATGCAGAACTTCCCAGTTTTGGGGTTCAGCTTTTCTATCATGGAACAATCTGTATCTCTTATACCACCTCAGGTCTTTAGGCAGTGTCTGAAAGGATGTTTTTTCTTTGTGTTTGAGTAGCAAAACACAAGCATGTTTGTGTCTAGGAAGGCTGCTCCCTGTAGCTAATGAATTTACCACTGCAAGTTCAGAAGAAGCAGTAGGTTTGCAACTTTCTTGTGGCTGCTCTGTTTTAGTCTATAAATAAAGTCACATTGGTTTATGATTTTGAGAGTTCATTTAAAGACCCTTCACGTGCCCTGGGTACTCAAGTGTCTGATGCTGGTGTTTTTAAAATTCTCTGGCATGTACCTGCCCCACTGGGGATGACTATGTTGCCTCTTCATGTTGGCCTTACAGCGGTGGTAATAATAATACTAATAAATAATACGACAAATTAAAAAGGTGATATTAGGGAGATGGACAGAAATTAAGTTTTGCTTTCGGAAAGGTATACCATTCTCATAGTTCTGCCACTGAACCAACATATCAATTCAAACTACGGAGAAAAAGCCCTGATCTTTTGAACAGAATCAAGATACACAAGAGAGGTGAACTGGTAATGAAGGCAAATTGTCAGATACTGTTGGCTAATTGTCAGATACCACTGGGAGAAGATGTATTTTTTGATGATATTTCAAGTTTTGCCAGACTGTAGGGATGAATTCTTCACACAGGATTGCTTTAAGATGGGTGCCGTGCAGTGTGAACTTGCTAGCTGGGTGCTTCTGCTTTCTTTCCAGATGAGTCGATGTCTTTGGGGCAACAGGGCATTTTGAAATTAACGTTCCCAGAGCACATACCTGGATTGCCTGAACACATACTGATGAAGTTTTCCTCTTACCTTAAAAATCTTGCTTTGCGAAGGATGTTAGTTCTAAGGATTTTTCTCCTGTTGCATAGCCTACTAATTCTATAATTCAATTGCAAGGAATTTGGGCTTTTACTATGCATGGAAAAATTGAGAAGCCTCAGTTCCATAACAAAGGCGTTGTGCCTAAGAGGACTTGTTTGTGAGCAGCAAGGAGTCAGCTGCAGAGGCTGAACCACACTTTCACAGTGTTATTCATGTAGCCTGTGTCGTGCTGTGAGTGAGATGTTGATGCATGATTTTGCATCAAGATCGTTCTCATGTCTTGTTCATATATAACAAATAGCTCTTCTTCAATTTCAGGCAAAATGTGTATTAAGGACCTTTATTCAGAATTCTTTTAATAATTATAAATTGATTCTGATTAGAGTAAGACTGAGGGGAACCCTCTTAGTGGCATGGAGAGTCTGTATGGGCAAGGGATGTTTTAGCTGAGGTGCATTCCACATGTGTTTCCAACCGTAAGACCATATTTCTACACACCACATACGGACCAGATCTTATTTAGAGAAAAGGTGCTGGTGGCTTTACAAAACAGAATATTTTAAAAATAAGAGTGCGGTGGAATGGCTAAATTTCTGCACGTAGTTGCAATTTAAATGACAGTTACATGCGTTTTCGTGTATCTGTGGATTTACTCTATAGTTTAATATAAAGGCAAAACCAGCCCATGAGGAGAGAACCTGTAGTGGAGCTTGACTGTTAAAGGAACAGTGATTTGGTTTAGACTTAACTTTTAAGTCTAGTTTTGAGTGATTTGGGATGTAACTCTGAGATACAAGAAAAAGGTGGTGCGAATGTGGATGAATCTGTAAACTAAAGAGCTTTTCTTGAAACTAATCTTTGGCAAAAATACAATCTTGCTGCTTTGAAATGGTTTCTATTCATACTAGCTTTTTATGTTAATTTGTTGATGAAAACACCAAATGATTGACCATGTGGTGGGAAGTTAAACAGCAAAAAATACTTGTTTGCATATAAGTATATGCTTGCTTTTGAGCTTACAGAGCAAATTTTTACAGATACTACTGGTTTAAAAATGAAACTACATTGCAGAGCTACATCTCCTTACTTTAAAATCTGAACGTAGTTGAAAAAACACTTAAAGAGGAATTAACATTTCAGTTGAAGTTACAAACGTAATTTCCATCCTGTCACATTTTGGTGACCTTTTGTGACAGCTTGTCTCTACTGGAGAAGTGCATTCTTACTTGCTGATTAAAGATGTCGTTTGAAACCATTTTATTACCAGCGATAGTGAAATTAATCTTGACACTTAGAGACACTAGAAAAATAATTGCTGATTCACTGCATTAACTGTGTGTGTGAGAACGGTACAGTCAAGATGAGAATAAGTGTGTGCTGGTAAAAATAAGTAAAAATAGAGTATTCTCATGAATGTAGCTAAGATCTTTTCTAAATATTTATTTACTCAAGATAATGTGAATAGTGGTTTTGAAAAGTTTAAAGGAAAAGTATTGTAGGACAACTATGCAATTGATTTTTACAGATACTGAGTTTATGATCTTTGAGAAATTTATACTGTCTTTCAGTTGAGGTCTTTCTGGAGTTGGAATTGTCATTATGCTCTGTGTTTAGTTACCCATTAGGGAAGGTGAAGAAGAAAAATGGCTTTGTTTGGCGTCACCAAACTGAAGTATTATCTCTGTACCTAATTTAAAAAACCAAAATAAACCTCTACACTTATGCAGAGCCATTTGCAGTGATAACAAATGTTATTGGATGTGGCAGTACCTTTTGTTATGTCCTGTTTAGCTGGTAACTAGCAGCTGAGATTTTGAGCAAGACTAGGAAATGAAAATTAATGGTTTCAATTTTGTCCTGTTGCACTGTGTTCAGAATCAGGTTGTGAGTCTGGATGATGGGGAGAAAAAAGTTAAAACAAGCAGAACATTTACTATCTCAATTTAGATTGCATATGTATTTAAATGCATATGCATATTATTTTATAGGTGTTCTGGAATGTGATTTATGTTGTAGATCTCTGTATTATCCAGGATAATAGGGATTGTAGGATTTTCAGACCTGGGGATTAACTGCTGTTGCACCCAGGAAGCAACCCAAGGCAGATGTAGCCACAGAGACCTGTGCTCAGAGTTGGTATAGGCAGGAGCCGGCGGCCGCATGCCGCAGCAGCCTGCACACAGCGACTGGGGGGCACGGCAGCATCCAGCCTGGCACAGTGTGCTTTGGCCACAACTCACACAAGCTCTTAGCCAGGAGGAAGCAGCGGGCCTTTTCGTGTGAATACCTGGCTGTGCTTTGGGAGTCTAGGGAGGGAAAGAAGATCTCTTCTTCCTTTCCTTGTCACCTCTTTTCTAGTTAGCAGTCTGATCTTGCTTTCAAGGAATGCAGGGACTATTTTCCTTGCTCCCCTCCCTGCAAAACCAGCTTCCACACTTCCTTCTCTCTTTGATCTCTGTGTGTGTGGCACAATGCTCTCAAATTTGGTAAACAGTCCACCTAATAATTGAGCTGACTGTATATTTTTCTGTGTGGTGACTGATAGCCATATAAAGCACTTAAGGTATTCATGAGTTTAGTTCACTGCATGAGTCTTCACTTTTGCAGTCTGTGTCTGAGGCTCTGAAGCTGCAGTTTTGTGTGTAAGCAAAATTCTTTACAGGTAGGATGCTGTTGTCTTCAGTGGCATGTTGTGAGGGAAGTATGCTTGATGTTAATGTAATCTTACATTCCTTTCTTTTTTTTAAATGAAATGCTTATATTGTACTTTGTGGTCATAGATGTGGTACGAATATGATGATGCTTGCTGCAGTGAATTCATGGAGGTTTTTGTTTTGGTTGGGTTATTTTTTCCAAGGTCAGTGTTACACACATTTTAACTTTTCTGTCTGAAAAAAAAACATGGACTGTGCCTTTGAAGACAGAGCCTTAAAAGTTTGAGAACTTTTGTGTAAAGTAAGTAGGAAAACAATTAATTAGTTTTCATTTTAAAGAGAGTGAAAAGTACCTGCACACCAAAGATCATCAGGACTGACTTTGCCCTGGATGCTGTCATCCCTTCCCCGAGCTTAATCAGCGCAGCGCTGTGAAGTCATTTTGGTTGGAGCAGTCCATTCTTTCTTCTGAAGTTTTTTCTGTTCAGTGTCCTTCCATATGTGCTCAAGAGGCTGAGGGACTCAGACATGATCTTGCCTTGTAGGATGCCTAGCTCTCTTCCAAGGTTCATTAAGAATTGCTTTGCTCACATGTGACTTGCGATCTGTTTAGTAGGAAAATAGCTTCTTATCGTCTTTAATGAACATCAGTGGTAGGTACTTTTTGCAATGACTGAACTTTGCTTTCCAAACTACCTTGCCGAGTTCAGGGTTGTAGTGTGGAAGATAGGAGAAAAATTGCTTTGCCTGCCCTATTCTTGGAAAAAAAAAACCAAAACAACTTTCTAGCTAGCAGCATGCCCAGGATGCCCTGCAGGATTTGGATGCTCTCTGCTTAAAGGGAGGAGAGCTGTTGCTTTGCAACGTAATGACGCCATTTCTTCCTATAAGTATATAGGAGCTGGTGATCTTTCTTTCCTGCAGACCAACTAAAAGCCCGTGTTAGCCCTTTCACACTTGTGAACCTGTGAAGAAACTGAACTTGCTGCAGGTGTGGACAGGAAGGAGGCTTGAAATCAGGACTCCATTTTTCCTGTTAAACCACCTTTTTCATTCCTGACAGCTAAGGATGGATAAGGTTGTAGGTTTAGTTGCTTCTAATGCTTTTTATTGCTTTGGACAAGTGTATATTTGTCTTAATTTTCCTCAGAAATCCATAGTGTGCACATTTAGTACCATACTAAGGCCTGAGAGAATGTGATTCCTTGCCCCTTTCTAAGCATGCCAGGAGGTTTTCCTGATAAAACCTGATTGTCATGGGCTCTGCCGATCTCTTGAGGCAGGTGCTAGGGCAAAGGTAGCATTTCATAAGAGTATCTGGTGTGGTTGTAAATTAAGGCTTTATGCCACTTAATTGCAGTGTCAGAGAGGGGAGAGAAAGATGGTAGAGAAACTTGTCTCATCACCAACATGCAGAATTGAAATGGAAAACTGTATGGCAGAGCCTGGGCTTTTAGGAGTCTGTCGTGTTTGCTGTGTTCTTAGTCAGCAAGGTCTAAACATTTCTTTCAAACATCAAAAAGCCCCTGCTTTCTGCAGGTGCTGAATACCTCTGAAAACCGGGACGTGCAAATTTGCAGTCTTTGCAGCTCAGTCATGCAGGTAGTTTTTGTAGCCAAGTAAGAGCAACTGCCTCAGTGGGAATGTGTGGTGCTCACCCTTTTCTGCCCTTCTGTCAGTCCTCAACTTCAAAGACTAATTGAGATTACTTATGAAGATGTTTAAGATGGTGGTTTAAGTAGCTTTGGCTATTAGACTCAAAGGAAATTTTAACAGTTTTCTAATTGCTTTAGTTACGTATTCTTGATGGAGTATATGTAGCGATGTGAAGATGTTATAGCACTGTCTCAGCTGACAGATGTAAACAATTTTTATTATGATCGTCAGTTATTATAGCCACTATGTGTAGCATTAGCAAGTAAAAACGCTTTGTCCTGAAATGTGGTCCCTGTACCCAGTCACCTTTAACATTAAGAACAAATTTTTTAAAATGGAAAACTGTAATTCTTGCACTAATTGCCATTTATAGGAATTCAAAATATGTTTTTATTTGTCAGGAATGTGTTTCTTGTAGAGTAGTTTAATTTTGCCCTTTTAGAGGCAGAAGTCAATTCTAGAGGTAACAAGGGAGCTGACTGGTACATGGCAAAATCCTCAGCTGCATGTTTGAGTTAAAGTTTTTCCCCTTTAAGTGACTGAAACCTGGTGAGTAGAACTGCTCCTACTGTCATGGTGTGTTTCCTGAAGTTTGTTACAGACTTTCTCTGTGTTTCCAAATAATTTGATTACCTGGGCCTGTTACTGCATGGTTTTCTCTTAATGTTATCTGCACTGTCCCAGATTTCAAGCAAATTTGGTAGTCTTAATTGAGTACCATTTGTTCTATGGTGTTTACCTGTGATGTGTGTTGGGTGGGTATTATCAGTGGCCATGTATTTGACTTCAGCTTTACCATTTGTTCTATGGTGTTTACCTGTGACGTGTGTTGGGTGGGTATTACCAGTGGCCATGTATTTGACTTCAGCTGAGCACAGATTTTGAAGTGTGTTCTCTCTTAAGTGGAATTGTCACTTGTAAAGTATAGCTCCTTCTTAAACCACATATGATAGAATAAATATTAAGTAGTTACATACTGGAAAAACACTTCAGTGACTAGAAAGTCCTTCTTTGGAGCACACCAATGTGCAAAAGAGTCTGGCAGATAAAATCTGTTTATGTGGAAGACTCAACATATCCTTTACAGTAAAGTTTACTGAGGTTTCATTGTACTGCCTGACATCTCTGCAGGTGAGATGTTTAAGATAACACAAATGTGAGAGAAGCCACAGCCTCCTCTTACAGCATAAGGCAAACTTCAATATCATTAAAAAAAAAAAAAAACACAACCACAACCTTTTTGTTCATGTTTGTTTCATTTACCTGATGCTTTTTGCCTGTGCAATAGGCACAAGTATCTGTGTGCTTTATCCTTTTAAAGATGTCTTTAATGAAATGTTAACATGCCACCTAAAGGAGATCAAAGTGCCTGCAAATTTTATGTTAGTTGCAGGGATGCTTCTATAGTTCTAGCGATGTGTTTTCTCATGATATTTTCTATCTTTTCAGCACAAAGATAAAATATTTTTCTCCATCTCTCTCTTAACAGAACTTTCTGCAGAAGCCAAAGCAGCATTACTTGAATTTGAAGAGAGGGAAAGGCAGCTTAAACAGGGACGGTATGGCTCAAGGAGAGGAGGGCGAAGAGGAGGCTCTGTTATGTGTCACGGAATGGGAGAACAAAGGAGAGACAATAATGATAGGGGACGAATGAAGGATCACAGGCCTGCACTGCTGCCAACCCAGCCATCGACAATGGTACCTTTTAATCCTTAGTTTTCTTTGTACTTATTTTCAGGAAATTATGGAGAAATGCATTCTAAATTGTGACTCTTTAGAAAGGTGGAATATGTATTCCAGCATACGCTTTTTACTCTTTCAGAGCACTGATAGGCAAGATAGGCTTTGTGTAACATGGTGATTGTGAAAGTATATGCTTAGTGCTGTTACCAGCCTCAATTTGAGGATTCTCAAGGTCTCCAAATGGAAAATGGGTTTTGACTCATACAACACAATCAGGCTTATGTAGTGGTTTGCCTAAGTATGGAGGAAAAAGTTAATTCCTCTGAGAAGTTCTCTACGTGCAACATGGAAATGTGTTCAGTCCCCCATTGTTAATAGTAATTTAGTTTAAAAACATATGATTCTGTAAAATATTTCTTGTTTTTTGTCAAACTAATATTTTTGCTTCTGAAAAATCTATTGTATACCTGCTGTGCTACTACAGAAGCAAGTAAAAGCCTAGGAAGGTAATTGCAACTAGATAAATTAGTATCTTGGGATTTCAGAAGAAATTTAGTTTTGTTACTGTTTTTTATCCTCCTGTGCTTTGTACCACAAACTAAAAAATGCTACTTTTTCCATCCAAAAAAAAAAAAAATCCCAGCAAGTGTGTGATCAATAAATGTGATCACCTATTTTTGTTAACTGTCATAAAATGTACTGGAAGCTGAAATTGTAGAACAAAGCTTGTGTGTGTCTTTGCTGGACAAGGTCGTCTGTATTAAACAAAGGGGATTTTTTCCAACAGCAATAACTCTAGGTGCAGACTAGCAGGAGTCAGTGGATTTCTCAGTGGTTGAGAGCCCTGCAGTAGAATGTTTCATGCTTTTAAAACAGTGAAGGTGGAATAATTTTTTTCTATATTGCTGCAGTCTTTGCTAGTTATTTTGATCTTAAATGTTGTAAACATTGTGATCATCACAGTATCTTCTTGTGCATACTTTGTAGCTGCTTTGCTTTATGTATATGGCCGCTGAAAAAAACTGTGTCACATCTGTGTTACTAAAAGGTTGCCTCTTTGGGACTCTTCTTGCACTACCATTTGGAAGTTACTGGACTAGGACTGATATCTAGTATCAGTGAGTTCAGAAGCAGAAGAATGTCTCTGAAGAGAAGCACTTATATATATATATATATTTTATTCTACCTGATTTTGGCCATTTGTGTTTGTTGAGCAGCAAGAGACTGTTCTGTGTTATGAAGGGTACCTTTGAAAGGTATCTTTAAAGTAGTTTTTTCTTCAGGCAGGGTAGATAGATGGTCTGCACTGATATCTTAAGAATCTAGCTTAATTTGTATTTTGACTTTTGTTGCTTCTATACATGAGACAAAAATTAGTGGATTTGTTTTGATACTAGGACTCAGATTTTTAGTGATCATCACACATACCTTATTGCAGTTGATGACGGTTTCCAGTGGCATATGCAGAACCTTACATATGAAACTAGACAGTTTTACTGTTAAAAACAAGTGAATGCATGTTTGCATTCCCTTTGTGCTTCCTCACTCTTTCTTGTCCTCTTCTTCCCATGAATGTCTTTGATTGTTCCTTTACTTTGTGGTGCTGACGGTTTTTAACAATTCCAGTTGATGATAGGGGAAGGAAGGTTTTCTGTTCATATTTGGCCTTAATTGTTCTCCACAGGTGTCTTGTTTTTGTGCTGATTTATGTCAGGATATTTTAACTTTAAAGCCTATTGACTTTATTCTTTTGTCTGACTTTAGACTCATTCACAGAGGTTAATTCCAACACACCAGCAACCTGTTAGGAGTCTGTTCCAGCAGCACCAACAACAGCAACAGCACCAACAGCAGCATCAACAGCAGCAGGAACAACAGCAGCAGCAGCAACAGTTACAATCTTTGCTTCCTTTACAGCATCAGCATCATTCTTCTCCTCCTCCAGGGCTACATATGCCCCCTCAGATAGAAACACCTAGAATAATGATGACTCCACCTCCAGTGACACCTCAGCAACCGAAGAACATACACATAAATCCACATTTCAAGGGGACAGTAGTGACGCCTGTACAAGGTGAGCTTTCTGAACACCTTCCCAGTCATGCGAGCATGACTCATCTTATTCTTTGCCAGGGATGCAATAATTTATTTGTTTATCGCTTCATGGGAATATGCTTCAGGCTGATATTTTTTTCCTTAAGCTTGGAACAAATGGTTCACCTAAAGTGAGACATAATATTGTTGGACTGTGGCCAACAGAAATGGTAAAGCCTTTTCAGCTTTATCGTCTCTTTACTGTAAAGCCCAGAAAGAGCAGTAAAAATGGAAACTGAACAGCGAATGTGCTTTTAAAGAGTAGCAAATGTCAGTTTTCAAAACTAGATAAGTACTGCAGTTTATGATTTCCAACATCATTCCAGCTTCAGCCAAGCATTCACAGAGTGACCACCCACCTCTTTCAGTGAGAACACACTGAGGCGCTCCTTGCACTGTAAGTGCTCTGTGAAAGGTACCAGCTGCTGTCCTTATTTGACAAGATATGTGCCCTCAGTTCTCCTGTCAGTGCCACGTTTGTGATGGTTTGATTTGCAGCCTACAAGTACACTTTTTCCATAACTTAACACAGGCACTCTTTGGTCCACACTTTTTAGGGCAGCTCTCAGCAGAGCTTTTAACATTACTACCTCTTTGGGAAGTGTTTAATCCCTAAACACCTGTATAGCTCTGATTCGTGATTCTGCTGGGACTAGACAAAGTAAAGAAACATATATCTATTTATGCCTATTTACGATTAGATTTTCTATATTTCCCCCCCTTCAAATCAGCAGAACTCCAAGCCAATGCTGTCTTTGCTTCATTTATTTGACCAATGAAAGATAGGAATTTGGCAGGGTAGGATATTGCCAGTTGATAGAGATCTATCAGGCTTCTCACAGATGGCCTCACAGTAGCTACATTGTAGAGATTATTTTACTTTTTCCCCTCTAATAAAACCAGTGCTTCCCACCAAATTATGCATCAGGACAAATTATCTGGAAGCATTCCAAAAGGTCCTTTAGTCTTGGATTTATGCCTTCTGTTCATGTTCCTAAGATTTCAAAAGTGACATTTCTTGTTTTGTGAAAAGCAAAAATTCTTTTTAGACTGTTCTAGATGCCTCTCCTCTCTCCCCATGAAAACTCAACAAATCCAGCATCTAGGTGAAGAGTTTTCCTCCTGATGCCAGCAGTGACTACTGAGAATTTCTACTTTTGCCGAACATCAAAAGTGTAGCAGTATATTCTCTCTTTTGTCTGAGTTTGTTTTTTGCATTATCAGGTGGCTTCAGGCTTGTCTCAGCCTTATCAGTACATCTGTTGTACTGTGGTTGTTGCAGGGGCCTTGCTTTATCTTGATCATGGCCTTTTTTTCCTGTCTTTACTTACACATCCTCATTTTAACCAAGTTGTGTACTTTTTGCATGTTAGGAGATCTTCAGTGTTGGATTTGTAGTCTGTTAGATCTTACACCTGCTGACTGTGTGCACATTCATTTCTTGGCTGGTAAAAGTCTAGTTGTCCTCTCAGAATGAGCAGCCCTGGAGATCGAGTGAGGAACATCTTTGCTGTGTGTATTGATGGCAGCTGGTTCCTGTGAAATACCTTTGTGCCATTCGTTTTACTGAAGGAATCCTTGGCAAGACTACTGAATATTCCTGTTAATACGTGCAGCATACTGTTAAATGCAGTCTTTTTAAATTGCTGTAGAGTTTTAATCTTCTTGATTAGAGAGCGCATATGGGACATGAAGTCTTCTGTAGTGGCTGAGAGGAGCTGCCATCTCAGTCTCTTCTTCTGCAGCATTGCAGCTAAGCTCCATGAAAGTATGCATTTGCACGCCTAAGGAAAATGTGTGGGAAATCAGTAGTCTTCTTCAGGGAAGATGAGCATGATTCTAAAATCTTCAATGGCATTTGCATATTAAGATGAATTTTTAAGCAGTCACTGCAGGCAAGCAGTAGACACAAATACCAGTGTAGGGAGTGCTCTTGTAAATTTCCTCTTAAAAAGTCCCCCTCTGTTTAATCAGTCTGCTTAAGGCCCCGGTAGGCAAGAGACTGGTTGACAACATTAGGATGTGTTTCACATGTAGCATTGTTTATTTCAGGGGAACAAGAAGTATGAAAGATCAGGTTGACTTCATGTTCCTAATGATATCCTGCCCCTTCTTGGCTGAATATATTTCCAGATACATGAGGGTTTTTACACATTGGTGAATACAGTCAGATAGGTGCAAAGTTTATGGGGATTCTGTTGTTGAAAATGTGATGCCTGGAAGCTAAAAATGCCGTGTCTGGAAGTGCATGATATGCTCACTTAGGTTCTGTTAATTTTAATGGTGTGCTGTCATGTTTTAGTGTAGACTGGCATTTTTTTCCTCTCTAATTTTATGGCAGGATTAAGCTCACGTACTTCTAATTGTCAGCACCAAGGACACTTTTTCTAACTGCAAATCATGGAAATGTACTTTCTCAACATCTTTTTGGTTTGAGTTAGTCTTGAAATGTGTTGAGTGTATCAGTATTTTCTAAAATAGACTCAAACATCCTGTAAATTGTTATGAAATTTTCACGTGAGTAAAACAGCAAATATAAGAGCTTTAGTAGCCAGCTACTTCAGCCTGAAAGTGAGTTGACGCATGCTTGAAGAATCCTGTCATTGGCTTATTTCTTTGATGTCTCAAAGGCAAATCTTACAGTGGCTGCTATTTCCCTGCCCAGCCTTGAATCTTGGTTCAAAAAAAGTAGGTAATTTCAAGTCAGTTTTGTTTCAAACAAATTTCTACTATTTTTACTCTTTGAAGCTTCATAAATGATTAGGAAAGACTCACTCTATCAAAACCCCTGAAATGGTTATGTGAGCCTCTGTGCATACGTGCTGCAGATACTGCTCAGTTGGCATTCAGCTGTGCCTTTTATGGCATTCAAATCCTTTGTCTTTTAGTTGCTTGCTTGTCTTTTCTCTTTTTTTTGTGTCCAATTCTGTAAATTAGTTTTGAGTTGTAAGTAGTAATTTTTTTCTGAGTGCATGTCCAAATTTGAATATGATCAATTTACAAATATTGGGGGACTGTATATAGATGTACTATGAAATACTAATTCAACCTGTGATAGAGGTATTGAGTTTTTTCCTGTAATGTTTATGCCACAACTAAATATTTCAGGGATACTGTGGTGCTGCAAAAATTGACATGAACTAAGGAGCAGTTTACGGCAGCTCAGTAGATTAGTATGCCATTTACCTTTTAAAAACTGTTTGGTGTCTTGGGAAAAATTCCATTATAATTCTCCTAAATAATCAATATGGGAATTTCTTCATCTTTCAGATATAGCATTGGAATTTACAGCCAAAAGCAATTTAATCTTAAAATAGTGTCTAACAACATGCTGTATATTATTTTTGAAACATACTTTTCAAACCTGTGGAAGATTTGACATCAGGAAAATGAATGCTTATTTGAGGCTTCTTTGCTGCTTCAGCAAGTGTCCAAGGATTGAAAGGGCACAGAGTTTGAAGTACTATCTTTCATGAGTATTAAATTCATTTACTTAAAATATATAAGTATATTTCTCTCTATATGCTACTGCCAGAGGCAGGATACTGAAATAGACACAAATGCCCTGTTCAGTTGACACTTCTCTACATTTCCCACTTCAGCGATTTTTCTCAGTGCCTCTCTGACCTGTAGTACCTGAGCTATTTTAGTCCTAGGTCTGTCAAGAGCACCCTGCCAATTTTTTCCAGGTGGCCATGGCTGTTTGGTATTGACAGATGTTCATTAGAAGCAAGGATGAGATGATTCCGATAATTTTCTCGTGTAACCTGATACAAAGTTTGCACGCCATCCTTCGGCACTGAAAGACCAGTGCAATTAGTTTACCCTGTCAGTCCCTGAACTAGTAAACCACAAGTACTTAACAACAGTGGGTAGAAGTCAGACATAGACATGAGCTAAAAATACCCACTAATGCATTAGTTCTTGTGCCTCGGTTACCACGGACAAAGGGATTTTTGAGGCATTTTAGCAAACTCTGTTGGGAAATGCAGCTAATTTGAGGGAGAAGTTGGGTGCATTTCCTAACATCCTTCCTGCTCTGAAGTGTAAGGCAATAGTTTTCTACAGAGTTGATATTTAACCCTGTGTGGGTAACATTCTCCTGTCGCTGTCACAAATGCTAAAAATAAATGGAAGAAAAGTAAACTTACTGAATTTTTTAGTAAATGAGTAAACAGGTTCAGTACTGCTTGATTGAAATGCTTTGTTTAACTTCTGTAGGCCTTCTGTTTAACACTGAAACATTTGTACCACTTAGAGAACTCAGAGGAAAAAAGACTGAACTGGAAAATGGGAAATCTGTCGTTACACTTTGTACTGGGGATTCAAATATAGATTCAGTCCCTAATGTGATCCAGCAGTAGGTGCTTTGTGCATTATGCCATAATATTAAGTGAATGTTTTGGGAAATATTTTTTGTGACTAGTCTTTTAAATGTGGTTGTATGGGTAAGTCATCCATATTAATCCCCCTCAAATACTGATTTTGGACAAGTTATTTTTCAGGAAGGGGGTCCCTTAATTCTTGGAGTCTCTTTATGAAATAGCAGTCTTTCATCTGAGATCAGCAGTTCTGTGATTACATAAACTGTGATCACAGTTGCATATACCATTATAGTGGCAAGGCCAGATTAAATAGTTTTTGCTTGCTGTTAATTGTCACTGCCTGCCTCATTAAAACCTCCTCTGAACAGTGATTTATACCAGGTAGCGGCTCTGATGCCCCTGCTTGTTTTGCGGGAGGTTGGCGGTGAGGCTAGGAGATACCTAGGAAGTCTTGAGAGGCATGCATTTGAGAAGGTGAATTAATCATGTATCCTTCTATTTGAAACATGGAATTATCTTTGGAGTCTGTGTCAGCTTTGTCTAAGAGATGTCTTTGGCTGAATAAGTATTCTGGTTTCCCTTCCTGGAACAAGGAGCAATCTAATTCTGGAAAATGCAGAATTAAATTATGTAAATTAACTAAGAATCCTAATTGCCCTGTTGCATGTTGCAAGGGAGGGAATGGTTGCTTAAAGTTAATTGTAAGAACTGTGACATGTGAGGGTAAATGTAGCAGATTTTAATCATGGCTTCTTATTGCAACTGCTTTTGGAAGTAGCAGTGACAACTGTTAGGTAAAACAAATGGTGTTAAAAGGTGCTTCTTGTTTCAGTGCCCTTGCTGCCAGTTCCAGCCCAGCCAAGACCTGCTGTAGGACCCCAGAGATTTCCTGTGAGTAGCAGCTGTTTCTTCTTCTCCGATATGGATAAGCATACATTTGCAAGGAAATATTAATATAGCAAATAAAAGCTGTTCTAGTGAAATATAATTTTAAGGATATGTAAATATTGACAATACACTCTGCAGTTGAAAATGTTTGTTAAAAGCTTAAGGTCAATGGATTTTTGAGAGTAGAATTAATTCTGTTTAACTGTAAAATTGTTGAACTAGTCTCTCCAGTGGGAGAGACATGAATGCATCTTGTCTTAAGGAGTAGGGCTTCATTTTATTACTTGACTCTTTCTGTATAAATAGAATCCTTATTTTATTTGGTATAATGAAAGGCTATTTGAAATAATCCCTAAGCTTAAAAAGCAGTATATATATTTTTATTGTAAAAATCAGCAACATTTCATTTTTATCATTACTTCAGGCATTTAAATGCCCTCACATTTTTATATAAAAACAGGAATGGCATTGCATGACCTTGCTTTCTCGTCTGTGTTTCTAACTTCCAAAACAAACAAGCTAACCTCACTAGGCTAGTTTCACTTGCTAATTTTTTTTTTAATTCTGTGAATGAAGAGAGTGCATACTTCTAGACCTTTTCGCATCATGTCATAATTTTGTTATCCTAAATATTTAGTTTTAAGAGGTTTGCAAAATATCAAAATAAGCAAAAGAAAAATAGTTCGTGCAATATTACCTTAAATATTTTCAAATAAATACCCATTTGTTATGTTTCTCAAATATATAAACCATACAAAAATTATTCTCTTAAAGTGTGCAGCGTTGAAGGAGGAAAGTAGATGTTTATGAACATTTGTGTAATATCACACAGTAAATTACTTGCACAGAGTCAGATATATTTGAAAGAAGCGTATTTTGGAAACCTGTTGTGACTTTTCCTGTGGGCATACCTGTTTTTTTTAACACAGAGTATTTTTCTTACAAGACATCTAACTGAGGAACTGTGATGTCTGTATTTTGCGCAGTAACTGAGTTTTTAAATGTTTCTTCTTTGAAGTATAAAAAGGTTAAGCAGTAAAACTTGAGTTTCATTAAGTGAGGTTGTGTTTTATAATTTCATCATCAACACTTTACCAGAGATATTTTTTTATTCAAAAATATCATGGTTTTCAGAGGAAATAATTTTCTTCAGGAGCCTTTAGTATTATGTGGAGACCTTATTAACATTTTAAAAGCAATTCAGATTGTTTTTTATGAAAACAAGTATCTTGCATTTGTTTTCCTTTGACACTAAGTTGCTCTGCCAATAAGCACAATTTGGGAGGGAAAAGGAATTGGAGGACAAGGAATATCTGTAAAGGCATTGTAATTGACATCTTTGAAGTGTGTTTACATCAGTGTAGAAAAATTGGAAATTAATTTTTTAAATTGACTGTGAAATTAGATTTTAATTCTGTTCACTTTTGTTTTTGCAAGTTGAGAAGCACTGCAAACCTAGCTAATCTTTTATGCAACAGTTCTTAAAATGGAATAAAATAAATTGAACATTTTTGGTAGGACTCGCTCCTTTTGCCTAAAGGAAAATACTTAACTGATTGCTGCCCTTTTATGTAAGCACTACACTAGCAAAGAGTCAATGTAATTCTTTTTTTGTAAAGAGGAGGAGGGCTAGCTTAACTAGGAGTATCCAGTACTGTGACTTGGTTGCCCTGAGTGGTTTTTTTTTCTTTTTTTCAGCTAGTAACCTGCTATATGACCCTGATAAAGTTACTTAATCTTTTCATGACTCACTGAGTTATAAAATGGGTATAATATGGATTTCCTTTATGAAGTACTTTATAAATTTTGCATAGGTTATCAGTCGTAGTAGGATTAGGAATGAAGTGTCATTGTGTACATATCTCTTGTTTGTTTTATTAAGTGTAGTATGTTAGCTCTTGAGCTGAAGTCAAATTTACTTTCTGACTTGAACGTTTTATCTTGCAGAACTGTCTTTTTTGCTCTGTTATATGTCAAATGCCTTTGTGCCATTATAATTCAGTTGTTTATGTATAAATGTTTACTTATAGCAGTATAGCAATGGTTAGACAACCATTTTGCTGACAAGCCATTTGAAAAAGATCAAAGATGTATTGCAGACTATAATTCATTCATTCTTTTCCTCACTGTAGAAAGAATCTCTGGATATGTAATAACTTGAATCTGACCCTTTTTTTTTTTTTAGGATTGCTTGAATCTGACCCTTTTTTTTTTTAGGATTGCCTAATCAAAGGATAGTAGTCAACTGTTTTTTCTGGTTGCTTTATTTCTAAAAAACTGTGGCGTTAGAATTAAATGTTTGTAGCTTTCCTCTTTAACTTTGAACTGCCTGGTTTATTTTGATTGAATGTGGCAGAGATGGAAACATTAAAGGTAATGAAATTCTTGTAAGGGAGAGACCTAAAAAGTGCTAGTGCCTGCACTGAAGGAAAAATTGCCTCTGAGTTCTTGTCTCTTGCGTAGGAGAGAAACCTCTCAGCACAGAGAGTCTGTGTGTGCTCCGAACATGGGAAGAGCTTCAATCAGAGCTAATCAATTGCAAGTCATAAATCCATTGGAAACCAGGTGTTATTAATTTAGGGCTAATGAAGTGCGTTGTAACCATGTAATGGTTAATTCTTACAACCTTTTGCAGAAGGATGTAATTGAAGAGTTGAACAAAGTTGTAATGAGCATCTTAGCATATTGGTGAGAATTCAAAATTACAAGAAAGAACGTAGTGCTAAGTCAGAGTAGTGTTGATCGGGCTGGAACCTGCTTGGAGTTGGGACTGATTAGATTCACTTAACCTTGAATCTAAATTTTAATATTTCAGGGTAGGGCTCATTGTTCAATTATTTCTTACTTAAAGCTTAAGCCCTTAAGTGTTTAACGGGTTTAGCTGTTTGATTAGCTGTGTTCCCTACTTGAAGTTATTTTAACATTTGCAGGAATCTTGAATCAAGCAAAGAGATGGTCTAGCTCTTACTCTGTAAGCATTCAGGGTGGCTTATTGTGAATTATATTTGAGAGCTATGTTCAACTCATTAGGACTGAATAAATGATGGATGTGAGGTATGTTAGCAGCTGAGAAATGTGGTGAGCTTGTGCTAACTAGGACTTACAGCCCTGAGTTCTGCAAAGGCTTCTACTTGTCTAAATTGCAAAATACTCTTCAGGTGATAGTAATCTAATCTTCCAGCATATTTGATGCTAATATTTTTCTGAGTATTGAATTAACCTGGAAGTGTGGAAGTGCCCATTACATGTTTTCTTTAAACAGTTTAAACAGATTAAGCTAGCTCTTTGGCCGAGTCCTTCTGGAGGTCTTGTTCTATCATCTGCCTTTGCTTTAAAGGGGTTAAAATGCCTTTCTGTGAATTGCTGTCTCAGTGTCATGGTTGGTATTTCACAAATAATGGTCTACTTTGGGGACTGTAGAAAGGTGGCAGAAGGCTTTATTCATACACTAGCTGTATGGGTCTTCTGAATTTTTCACATGTTTTCTGACGAAATTATTAGTTCTTGTGGATGCCCCAATGCAGGTAGGGAGCCTGTGGCCTTTCCTGTTACACAAGAGGGACACTGTGGTTTCTGTCTTGTGCTGTTTATCTGGGCTGATTTTTCTTTAAGCTGCTGCATTCTGTGAAGAGGGATGGAGAAAAATAAGGGAAGAAGAAATTAAGTAGTAAATGGAAGAGGTGTTTTTAAACACCTATTATGTAGGCTGCCGCTAACTCATTATTGTAGAGGTCAGATCCTTTCTTAATATCAAACTGGCAAAATTGTTCACTTTCAAATGGCAGTTTTCATGAGCTAAGGTGATGGTCCAGATCTTTTCATCTCTTATGTTAGACCACCAGCACATCCTGCATCTGAAATCTTTCAGTGTTTGCCCAAAGAAAAATGTATAAAGACTTTCTGCTTAAACATTGTTGAATTTAATAAGCACTGAAGTAATTTTTGTACGGTGCACACTTGTGTGCAATTTTTTAAGGACATAAAAAAAGTGGAGCAAGTGTTGTCGTGCCTGTTTTGAGGTAGAACATTGCAGAGAAGACTTTTTTTGTGGTCAAAATTCTTCAGCCAGAAATTGTGAGGGATACCTAGCATATAAATTTGGGGCTGGAAATGGGGTATTTGGAGTGAAGAAGTTGTTGGAAAGAACCTGCTTCATACTACTCCAGGCAGAAGAGAGATTTGTGGCCATTCCTCCTCTGCGTCCTACATCCTCCTCGGAAATTGCTGCAGAGAGAGTAGAGCCTATTAACGCATTTCTCTGCCTTTTGCCAGGAGAATTTTCAGGAAATTGGGATAAATTACAATTTAGCTGCTCTTCGTAGCCTGACGTGCTGGGTGTGGTGTGAGCTAGGCTGGTGTCCATCTCACAGACAGAATCTATTATCTTTAGTCAACTGGAGTTTTAGAGCTGCAGTTAGGAATAGTCTGCAGTGGCACGAAACACAAGATGAACTGGCACTGTGTCAGCCTGACTAATTTATGTCAGGAAGGCTTTGATATTTTTTACTGCACAAAGCTTTTCTTCTTTGATAGGACACCTTAGTGCACGGGTACCTTTCACATAAGTGTCGAATTCAAGTCTGAAAAAGTTGAATCATACAACGTAAATTATGTTTTATTCAGTGTAAAAATAAGGCTTTTAATAGAGTGACTTGTCCTCAGGCCCTTGTGAATATTCTACACCACGTGTCTTTTCAGTTCCCTGGGGGTTTTGACGTGATTTGTTTTTGGAACTTACGTTACAATTTTGTTTCAAAATTGTCTTTCTTCCAAAGAACGTTTGATTTTTTTTATTTTCTTTAAATGGCAAAAACCTTAGTAAACTTTCTTTATATTCTCATTCAACATGCTTCCACTTGATCTCCAGAAAATCAGGTGTTGTCTTAAGTGGATGCTGTGAAAGGCAGTTGATTAATTTTAATTCAGTTTTTTCACTGTTTCTGAAAGCTGTAGTTTGAAATTCAAGCACTGCTTTTAAACACTTCTTTATGCTTTAATCAGTG